GCCGACTCTCGCTATCCTGCAGGCCCCTATACAAATCTTCACAAATATCTAAAGAAATAAGTTATTTTGACCAAAGAAAGGAAAACTCCAAGCTATTTACCTTCGACGCTTCGGTGTTCTGCGTCCGCAGCAGAACACACTCTTCAGCAGCCACTTGTCGTTCTGCTTCTAGAGCCTCATACTTCCGACGCTCATCAGCAAGCTCGCTTTCGAACTTAGTCTGCAAACGGCAGTGGGATAGATACAGACCAAAAATTACTAGATATTAGCTGAAATCCTACAGAAAAGAAAGTAAAGTTGTTTATTACGAGTTGTGACTAAAGATACTATCGCGAAAATTTCAATCGGCAACTTATTTTGCGCGAACTAAAACATTACTATATTGCGCTTTTCATAATGAGGTGAGGGCTTCAAAACGGGATGTCAGTAATTAACCATAACACAGAAAAATCAAATAGAAAATTACCATGCGGTCGGTGAAACCATCTAGTTCCTTCGTCTTCTCCGAAAGATCTTCTAGTAATCGAGCATTAGCACTAGTCAAGTGAAGAAGCTCCTGTGAAAAGCAGAACGTGAGTAGTCAGAAACAAGCCTTACTATAAATACAAGCGTACTTGCTCCTTTGCCTCCACAGCCGCAACCAACTCGGAGATTTTGGACTCTGATTGTTGAACGAGCGATTCCAATTCCGCTTGTCTCGTGTCAGCGCTGCTCTTGAACGAGTCGAGTTCAATTTTAGAATCGCACAAGGCGTTCTCAACCGACTGCAGAGCACATCATTTGCATTATGCAAGCAATCGACTGAGCGTTTACCTTCAACATAACAACTTCATCTTCGTACTTCTTCTGCAACTCAGTGGACCGCCCTTTCTCCTCTAACAGCTGCTTACTCTGCAAATTCAAGGCTAAATTTATAGTAAGTGCATAATATAAGCTGGAAGACCATAAGAGATCACCAAACGACGGCATTTCAGATTATGACAAAACAAAACAAAAGTGGAGAAGAAGTGACCAAAATTCACGCAAGCTTGCCCGGAGTGCACCCATCCCCTTACCAGGCTTTCAACAGATTCTTCTAGAATCTTGAGCTTTTTCTGATCTTCTTCGGCTTCCTTCTCCAATTCGGCTATGCGAGTAGATGCTTCATTTGTCCTCAGAGTCAATTCCTCGATCTTGGCCTACACCAAAACGAGCATAATATCCACGAAATTCCAGAACAATACGCTACGTGGTAAAATATTGACCTTTCGCAATAAGTTCTCCTCCTTTTCAGAATCCAGAGAGCTCTGCAGTCCTTTTGTAGTTTTCAAAAGATCTTCATTGTGTTCGTGATCTTTTTCGATCTGACGTTCAAACTCTTCTCGCTTCTTTTTCCAGTGCTCCTCTTTTTCATTGGCATCCTTGATCGCATCCTGCAGAGCTTGATCTTTGGCATTCAGTTCAGCCGTCAACTGTAAAAATGCCTTTAACAAAAACAACATAGTAGAAAGACTTATCGCAACTAATCGCTATGTTAATCAAAGCACATGTTACAGACAGGAAAGTCGAAAAGTGAAAAAATAAGAAAGCCCAGAAAGTTCGAACACAATCCCGGAAACCCTTGCGGAATACACATGCTAAAGCTAAAAACACTCACTTTCTCCACTTGCTGTTTCAAAGTGACCAGCATCGACTCATGTTCGCTGAGTCTATTACGTAACTCGGATTCAGAGTCTGATACAGCTACCCGTTGCGCTTCACTTTGTGAGAGTTCTGCTTCCTCAAAAGAAAACCACATAATACATTTACCCATAGTGCCGGAAATGAGTCCTACCAGTTTCCTAGCTTTCATCTCGGCTTCCGAGATATGCCTAACAGACTCTTCTATTTTATGGCGGTTTTCTTCGATCTGTCGTTCTTTTTCTCGAAGAATGCGATTCCTATCGGACAACTGAGCGGATAGCTGGAACGTCTATGCATAAAGATGAGATCTCCCATGTGGAAAGAACGAATTTGGAGACTTCGGAGCTTTTGATTACGTGAACTTAAGATATTCAACGTATACAGACCAAAATGGCCTCAAAACACTGCGCTTTTTGATTTTTTGCGGTGAAAATCTGATTTTATATGAACGAGATTGGTTACAACTTTGCTAATTCTTCCAAGGGAAGTATGTGAGTTAATTTTCTTGAAAATTAAGATATATAAAGATTAAAAAAA